CTCAGGTTGTGACCTCAGGGCCGTGGGATCGGGCCCCATGCTGGACTCTGCTTGGCGTGGAGTCGGCTTGTTGCTGTCCCTCCACTCCCCCTGCACTCATGCTCTCTCTCTCTCTCTCCCTCTAATAAATAATAATAATAATAAAAAATCCAGGGATCCCTGGGTGGCGCAGTGGTTTGGTGCCTGCCTTTGGCCCAGGGCGCGATCCTGGGGACCCGGGATCGAATCCCATGTTGGGCTCCCAGGGCATGGAGCCTGCTTCTCCCTCTGCCTGTGTCTCTGCCTCTCTCTCTCACTGTGTGCCTATCATAAATAAAAAATAAAAATTAAAAATTTAAAAAAAAATCCAGAAGCCTATTTCATGTTTAACAATTCTGTGAAGTACTTATTCTGCAAGCAAGGTCAGCAGGGTTCAGAGGCACTGAGCGACCTGCTGGAAGCCCCACAGCCATGGAGCAGAGCTACAAACTGAACCTATTCACACGTTCAGTCTTTGAGGGATTCAGGCAGGAAACCGTTTCCACCCCGCGCCAGGACGAGCACTGGGCCCGGGGACAGGAGACGCGGGGACACGGTGCTCGGGGTGCTCGGGGGACACAGACTGGGCAGGACAGAGGCTGGGCGAGCCCCCCCCCCCCGCCCCCGCGGCCTCCCGGGCCACACAGCCCCAGCACCAGGCCAGGGCCGCTTCCTGCCACCGGTGTTTGCCTTGGCCCCGGGATGGGACACGCCGGCCGCGAGCTGGAAAACAAGGTGGGCCGGGCAGGAGCCGGAGCCGAAGCCCGCGTCCCCACACCCGCGCCCCTCGCCCGGGAGCAGGCCCGCGGCCGCCCGCCCGGGCCATTGTCCCTTGTTGTGACAGAGGCCAGGGCCGAGCGGGCTTCCTCCGGCGGGGCGGCCGTGCTTGGACAGCTGGAGGAAGCAGGCCGCGGCCGCCACCAGCAGCTGCCGCCCGCCGCGGCCCCGGGCCTGGAGCCAGGGGGCAGCGCTCCGCCGACGCCGGGGCAAACATGTTTGCTTGTTTTCGGGGCGGGAGGAGGCGGCCGGTGCCCTCCTGAGCAAACACGGGCGCCGATAAGCGGCCACGGGCGGCCCCGGGCCCCAGGCGCGGTCATGGCGGGGACAGCGAGCTCCGGCCATGGGGAGGCAGGGAGGGCACAAGCACCACAGCCGCGGGGCTCCTGCTTCTCGGCCCGTGTCCGGACGCTCCCCTGTCCCTGCATCACCGCCAGCCACGCTGCAGAGGGACCGAGGCAACGGGCTGGAGACACGCAGGGACCCGGCCGAGGCCGCCCGGGAGCCTGCCGCCCTTCCCTCCCGGCAGGCCTCGAGCACCTCCCAAGGCTCTGGTCCCAACCCGGAGGCTCCAGGCACACCTGCTGACTTCCCGCCTCAGCCCCACGCGCATCCGTGGGCCATGGTGCAAGGCACTGTATCGCCGGTGAGCCCCAGGAACCTCTCGTGGGCAGACGGCACTCGGTCACACCGGGGACCCTGGGGCAAGCACACAGCAGGACTGTCACCCAGACGGGCAGGCGAGCTTGAGGCCTAGTCCTGGAGCCCCCGAGACGGTGCTGTGGGGGGCTGGGCGTGTCCCCATAACCCGAGGACGTCCCCAGGTGGAAGAGGAGATGAGCAGGACACCACCCCACATGCCCTGGCCACAGGGATTCAGATGACCTGGGCCCATCCTCAGCCCCAAGTCAGTGCCCGACCTCTCAGCACGGCCCATGGGGGACCCCACCCAGACACCGCGAGCCTCCCCATCCGAACCCGTTCTGACCCCGTCCCTGGATTCCTCTCCCTTCCACCTCTGTCTTCCAACCCCATGCACGACCTCCCCTTCCAAAAGGCAGAGGCAGGATTTACTGCCTCCTATTGGGGGAGAAGGTGCCCTTGGTTTTTGTTTTTTTTTAAGTAGGCTCCATCCCCAGTGTGGAGCCCGATGTGGGGCTTGAACCCACAACCCTGAGATCACGGCCTGAGCTGAGGGCACCTGGTGGCTCAGTGGTTGAGTGTCCACCTTCAGCCCAGGGCGTGACCCTGGGGTCCCAGGATGGAGTTCCCCATCGGGCTCCCTGCAGGGAGCCTGCTTCTCCCTCTGCCTGTGTCTCTGCCTCTCTCTCTGTGTCTCTCATGAATAAATAAATACAATCTTCAAAAAAAAAAAAAAAAGATCAAGAGTCGGACACTTAACTGTCTGAGCCACTCAGGTGCCCCTGGGGAGAAGGTCCAGGAGCAATCAGTCCCCAAAATACCCTTCACCATCCCCCTCACTACGCCCACAGCTCTGTGCAAACTACCCCGGGAGGCCTAGTCACTCGGTGACAAGCACCCAGGGCAGCAGGTTTACAAATGACACCGCACCAGGTGCTTCCCCCACACAGATGAGGAAAAGCTCGAAATTCAAGTGATCTGTCCAACTTCAACACAGCAAGCCACCTTCTCCCCTCCCCCTCCTTTTCTCCTCCTCCTCCTCCTCCTCCTCCCCCCACTCCCCCTCCTTTTCTCCTTCCCCTTCCTAGGCTCACACCCAGTATGGACCTTAATGCAGGGACTGAACAAATGACCCTTAGGTCGAGCCCTGGGGCGGGACTAGGAGCTGGACACTTAACCAACTGAGCCACCAGGTGCCCCCTCTAGCAGGTTACCTTCCGATTCCTTATCTCGGGGAAAGGGGGCATGTGCATCCAGACCTTATAACAGATGCTAGAAAGGGATGGCCTCCTCCTTTTGTCCTACCATTTGCATGTGAGCAGAGGGATTCCGGGGGGCCAGGGGTTGTGTGTGGGGGGAATGGTCCGCCCCAGATGTGGGCACTAAAGGGGTGCATCGTCTGTACTAAATTAAAGGGAATAAATATAAAACTGACTAGAACTCGGAGTACTTTCCATTATCACCAAGCACTGGCAACTCTCAATAATATTAGTAACAAAATAGCCCCCCCCCCGCCCCAGGTAGAGGCTCCCACCCCCCACCCCACTGTGCTCTGCTACTCCTCCCCCCACCCCACCCCCACCCCCCTGTCCACAACAAGCACATTGACTCAATCAGGGCTCTTTTCCACTGAAGGGGGTGCTGCCTCCAACCCCATCCTCTACCCACAGCTCTAAGCAACCAACCCAGCCCTGGTCAAGAAGTGAGGGTGGGGCCTGGCCTGCATCACCCCATGCCTACCCCTCTGATGTCACAATCCTCACGGAGCTTCCCTGACTGTCCTCGGGGCTCTATTTTTGCTCTGCTCCTGTCCAGCTCCACACCTGCTTCCTGACCCCAGGGCACCTAGGGCCCTGGCCTTAGAATTGGATCCAAAAACGCTTGGCCTCCAGCCTGTCTACCTCTGGGCCGTGATCTCCCCCAGGGGTCACATGGCACAGGCCCAGAGGGGACTCTGGATGGTGACTTCTCACCTGTGCATGGTCGTGAGCCCTCGGGGAAGGCCCCTCACGGAGACCTGGCCCCAGCACTCACCACAACCTGGAGTTCCGTGATGGGTTTGCTTACAGCTTTGGTGTCTCCCTCCCCTGGGGAGTCAATTCCCAAAAGGCAGCCACCTGGTCCACCCTCTTCCCTTCTGTGTGCCCAGCACGCAGGGCAGGCCTGGAACAGGAGAGGCACCCAGCCGCTAGCAGTGGGAGGGAGTAGATGCTCTCCTCGGCCCCCACCCGGGCCCCTGAGGCCCAGACGCACGCACCCGGGGCAGCCTCAGCATGGCTCTGCCTGCGGGATGTCACCCTCTGAGCCTCCTTCACCCGCAGTGACCCTCCCGCTCTCCCACTACCCCATCCTCTCCGCACCGGTCCTGCTGGGCTCTCCCCCTGAAATCGGACAGGATGAGTTCACGCTCTGTAAGGTCCGCTGTCTTTTCCCCCAACCAGGCGGGGAAAGCGAGAATGCCCGTCTCCAGGGTTCTCACGGGAATTCACTCGGGAGCCAACGCACACCAGATGTGCAGAGTCCTCACCAGTGTTTATCGCCAAGTGACTAATACACCGTTAATACGATGGTAAGAGGCCTTTACAGCAGCCCAGAGAAAACCTCCACCCCGTCACCCTCCCCCAAGCCTTACAAGGATCCCTGGGGAAAAACGTTCAAAACCTTTAGTTGACAGGGAACTCGGATTTTAAAACAATGGGCTAATTCCCCCCCATTTTGCATCGCACTCGGGACTCTACAGCTTCACCCCTCCCTGGCCCCACTGCCTTTGTCTGTGCCTTTGTAGCTTTTCTTGCTAAAGAGATGCAGGCTGCTTCCCTTCCCCTTGACCCTGGGCCAGCCTCCTGGCCTGCTGTGACCAACAAAATGCCACAGGACGGCCCAGGTGCCAGCCTGGAGTGTTTGCATCTGCCCCCCACCCCGCATGTTTGCACCTGCTCCCCTGCATCTCCTCCCCTGCCAAACTCCTAGAAGCACCCAAAAGCAGCCTGGTCTCTCTCTCTCTCTCTCTCCTGGACCCATCGGGCGCTCCCAAGTCAGCACGTCCCAAACCCAAAGCTTCTCATTTCTCTGTGTTGCACGGGCAAGACCCTCTCGGGTCTCTGAAGCCTTGCTCTTCCCCAGCCCCTGCAGTGAAAGTGGCAGGGTCACGCGGCACACGTCTGTCCCCTGTGGGGGGACCGAGAGGCCGCCCCCACCCTTACTCCACGCCAGTGCCACGCTCCGCCCATCCATCTTCATCCAACAACGTCGCCTCGCACCCGTCCTGTGCCAGATGCCATGCGAAGGATGACAGGATAGGAGGCCCGACCCCTACCGTCCAGGAGCCCATGTAGTGAAGGAGCTCACGTTCCTCACATGGCGGTCTGATGATGGCCCGTGATCTCCTGGTGGGCGCCTGCGATACACTAAGTACCGTGAACCTCAAATGTCTCAAACCCTTGCAGTGATGCTACCGAGAGTCATCAGGTCCCTTCCTACAGAGGAGGAAGTCCAAGCGACCTGCCCGAGCCATAGCTCCTAAGCGTCAACACCTGGCTGTGGGTCCCCAGAACCCACGCTCTTCTTGGGGGCACCACACTGCCCTTGAGGCCAACCCCACGGCCCGCCCCGCTCCACCCTTCTGTGACTCTCACCCTCACTGAAAGTCGGTCTCTGTGGCCTGGACCCTGGGCCTTGCCTGTCGCTGTGCTCAGACCAGGCCGGCCTCCCCCAGGCTGCTACCCCGGGCTTGTGCTGTTTCCTCAGCCTGGAATGTTCTCCTGTGCAACCTGACCTCTCCGTTCCTCAAGACCTGGGTCGGGAGCACCAACCTGGAAGGTCTCAGCTAGCGAGACGCTCCATGTCCCTGAAGACACTGTCGGGTCCTCTGCGCTGGCACAGGTCCATCTCCCGCAGAGGACTTGGGGGTCCCGGGGGACAGGACCCTCCACGGCATCATCCCATGGAAGGTCCATCCTCAGGAGCTGCGCAGCTGGACCAAGTCGGATTGGATTGCTGAAAATAGGAAACTGGGCTCAATCGGGGGTCAGAAACGGGTTGTAGGGATGCCTGGGTGGCTCAGCGGTTTAGTGCTGCCTTCAGCCCAGGGCGTGACCTGGGGTGCCAGGATCGAGTCCCATGCATGGGACCTGCATGGGGCCTGCTTCTCCCTCTGCCTGTGTCTCTGCCTCTCTCTCTCTCTCTGTATCTCTCATGAATAAATAAAAACAAAAATCTTTAAAAAAAAAGAGAAAACTAAAAGGAAACGGGTTGTACAGGTTCATTCGGCCAACATTTATTGAGCACCTGCCATGTGCTCAGTCAAGATGCCGGGTGCGTCCACGGTAGTAACCATGCGGGCTCACACGGGTGGGAAATGTTCTTGGAAGAAGACGCGGTAGTAACAGGAAGACTGAAAAAAGTGGCTCAGAGAACACCGTGAACCCAGGGAAGCTCAACGCCAGGCGCTCCAGCTGCGGTGACCCCCGCGGGGTCCTGCTCCAGACGCCCGTGCCTCCTGCCTGCAGGCCCAGCCTCTCTCGGTGGACCCACTGCAGTCCCTCACGCTCGGGGACCCAGTCCTGAGCCTACATCACGTGTCCCCGCCCAAGCTGCCAGAAAGGCGAGGGGGGGGGGGGGACAGACCCTGGCCAACGTGGGTTTCCTCGTTTCAGGACTTCTCAGAGCCTTTAATACGTCATGTGCACTGTGAAGGTCCCGGAGCAGAAGGGCTCTCCGGCTTTTCCCTCCTTTGACTGTGCAACCCTTTTCTTGGAGAATATTCCGTAGGACTGGTGTTCAGCAGACAGGAAAACCCCGATCTAACTCAACCCTCATTTTTAGACAGGGAAACGGAGGGACTTTCCTGGCATCACCAGGTCCCCTGGTGTCCTGACGGTCAGCCCAGGACTCAGGGAAAGGACCCGCTCCCAGGAAGAGGAGACAGGTGGAGGCAGGGCCAGGCCCCAGGCTGCTCAGGCCTCCCGTCCCATCCCCTGTCCCGTCCCCCCGTCCCCGCCCGCAGCTCCTTCCCTGCTATCTGCTGACATGAGCTCACCCTCCAGGTGCAGCTGAACAATGCACACCCACCAGGGCCTCGGGACCCACTTCCACCTTCAGGAAAGCCCTTTGGCACTTGATGGGATGAGCACTGGGTGTTATGCTATATGTTGGCAAATTGAACTCCAATAAAAATTAAAAAAAAAACATTTTAAAAATTAAAAAAAAAAAAAAAAAAGGAAAGCCCTTTGGGGAAGAACACTGGGCAGCCCAGGCCCGGGTCCCAGCTGCCTCAGCACCTGGGAGGGGACCCCACAGTCAGCGGCAGCCTGAGGCCTGGCACGGAAGCAGGAGGGCCGAGGTCCTGCCGTGGGGCCGTGGCCGTGGGGCAGGGGGAAAGGTTCACGCCTTCACTGAGCCTTGGTTTCTTTAGCTGGGAAGAAAAAAAAAAAACACAAAAATCAGTTAAGACGTTACAGGTGATGTAGGCAAGTGTGACGCCTTCTCCGCACACGAAGAGTCCATCTCAGGTTGGAGACTGGGTGTGAAATCAACTCCCCTCTTTGCCCTGATGAGAGACCCTGACAAAGATGTCCCGGGTGGGCTGTGGCAACTCCGGGGGGACTTCGGCCAAAGGAGGTGCCTCCCGTCTAGTCACACTTTCCCACCTTCACCTGGTGAACTCCTATTCAGCCTTCAAAACTCAGATGAGGACGAGATGCAACCTCCTTGGGTCTCCCTGGCCTCTTCTCCCCGCAGACGAAGTGGAGGCCCCTCTGAGCCCCATAGGGGGAGATCCTCACGCCTCAGCCCCCCACCCCACGTGATCGCACCTGGCGCACCAGGTGGAGGGAAGGGACGCGTGACCCAGTCCCCGGCTCCTCCCATTGTGGGCAGCCCCGGGTCTTTCCTCGTGGCGACACGTGTACCCACGGAAGGGATGCAGGGCATCTGAGGGCTGGAGGCTGGGTGAGGAGCACAGAGGACCTGCACGCCCCTCGCGAGGTCAGCCCCCCAAGCCCTCGGATGTGCTCCCAGTCCCCTTCCCAGCACACTGGCGGACCGACCTGGCCGGCCCCCATCCCGATGTCCACATCCCGGTCTTCGGCCCCTGCGGAGCGTGTTATGTTCCACGGAGGATTAAAGGCTGGTTGGGGTCGCAGAGGGACGCAGCGTCATCGGTCAGCTGACAGCAGCCGGGGAGACAGTCCTAGATCACCAATGGGGCCGCGAGAAGTGGGAGAGGAAGGCGGATGTCAGAGCGACGGGATATGGGGACTGCAAGGAGCTGTAATGATGGGGAAAAGGGACGGGGTCACGGGCCAGGGGGCCAGGTGGCCTCTGGGGGCGAAAACAAGTGGGGACACGGGTTCTCCTCCAGAGGCTGCAGAGACGCAGCCTTGGACCCGGGGGGGGGTGCATTTCACACACCAACCCCCAGGCCTGTGAAAGCGAAACCGTGTTGCTTTAGGCCCGCTGGCCTGGTGGCAGGTCGTTGGGGGCCCCGCCACGACCTCGGGCAGCCCATGCCCCTTATAGCCGGGCGACGGTCCCAAGGGATTGGGCCCTGATCCCACCCGGCGCCGCTCACCCCACCCCATGGATGGTGCTCAGCGGCCGCTGTTAGGAAGGCTGGAGCCTTGACACGGGCTGGCGCCCTGCAGCCTGAGCCCGGGGGAGGGGGGGCTGGCCCCGGGGCAGAAGTGCTGCTCATCCTCACGGGCTGGGGCTCAGGGCTCGGGGGCTGAGGCTGGGGCTCAGGGAGGCTTTCTGCAGGAGGTGGCACTGAGCTGAGCTTTGAAGGGTGTGCAGGTGGCCATCAAGCACAAGGAGGCAGAGGACAGAGGGTCTAAAAGCCTCTGGGGCAGGAAAGACAGAGACAAGGTAGAGATGGGAGAGGCAGCGGGGCACCCAGGGGCCCCGCGGATGAGTGCCTGCCTTGGGCACAGGGTGGGGTCCCTGGGTCCCGGGATGAAGTGCCCCACTGGGCTCCCTGCATGGAGCCTGCTTCTCCCTCTGCCTGTGTCTCTGCCTCTCTCTGTCTCTGTGTCTCTCAGGAATAAATAAATAAAATCTTTTTTAGAAAACTCGTAGAGACCGAGAAGGCCGCGGGAGCGAGGCCGAGAAGGGTGGCCTGTCGTGACTGGCGGCTCGCAGCCCAGCCTCCCTCCGGTTCTGGGACAGAAAATAGCCTGGCTGACCCGTGGTGTGCAAAGCATTTCCTGTGCAGCCCTGGGGACCCCTGAGCTGAACTTTCTCAGGGGTGGGGCTGGCAGGGGGTTGGGGAGGAGGGGACAGGAGGTCCTGGGCCTGGATCAACCGTGCAGGACGAGAGCCAGGGGGGGGTGGGAAGGGTTGGCGGTCATGCCCGAGCCCCCCAAGCCCCCGAGCCCCCAAGAGCAGGTGCCCGGCTGGGTGGGCGGCACATGGCGGCACATGCGCAGGGCTGAGCCCGGTCCCGGGGCCCCGCGTGCAGGGTGGAGGCGGGATGCACAGACCCGGCCCCGTGGAGCCCTCCGCCCCCCACCCCGGGGGCTCGAGCAGGAGCAGCCGTTGGGGGCCGCAGGGGACACTCCTGCCTGGAAGGACGCGGGGCTTGGGCCTGCAGCGGGGGCAGCTACTCCCACTGCAGGGGGAGGCTGCGGGGAGCCGCCTGGGCGCTCCTGCCTCCCACAACCTTGCAGGCCCGGGGCTCACACAGCCAGGACCTCGACCCACCACGTGTGGGGCCCAGGAGGCTCGTCCCCAAAACCAGAGAAGAGCCACTAGGCTGCACGCACACCGGCTCCATCTGGCCAGGCCAGCAGGCTCCCCGGGCACACGAGGGACCCCGTCCTCCCCGCCTCCCCAGAAGGAGACTTAGGAGCCTGAGGGCGGGGCACCCACGGTGGGCGAGCGCCCACGCACAGCACCCCTTCTATCGGGGAAGCCGTGTTCTGGTGAAGAAGGGATCTGCACAGGAGGCTGGGTCGGGAATCAGAGTTGGGTTGTGTCCCACGTGGGGAAATGGCCATGCCCTCTGCTAGCGGTGCCCCCGCGAGAGGAAGGTCCGCGCTGGGGAGTACGGAGGAGCCCGGCTCCTGGAGAAACGGGGCCCGGCTCCCGGGACCAGGTCGGCAGCTCGGGGTGGGGGGGTGGGCAGGCGAGAGAAGGCCCCCACGCCGCCCGGTTGGGGGCTGGACTTGGCGACAGGACCCTTCTCCCCACTTCTGCACGTAGCTCCACGCGGCTCCAGGTGAGCAAGGACACATGATGTCACCTGGCACCCTGTGTGTAGGTCTGAGGGGATGGGGGCGGCCTGGGCTTGGGGTTCAGGGTCCCCCAGCCCCTGCAGGGCCACTCGGGAAACAGCAGACGAGGAGCGCACGTGAATATCCCGGACTCTGGGGGGGAGACAGACGCCTGGGGATGCTAAGGACGGGGAGCCATGTCACATGGGCTTTTAGGGTGTCAGTGGAGGTCACAGAGGCCAAGTCACTTGCACACGGCTCCACAGCTGTGACCCTTCCAGGACACTTGTCCATCTGGCGCCCCCGGCGCCTGCTCCAATGCCAAGGTCCCAGAAATCCCCAGTCACCGTCCCATCCCACGGCCCTTCCCAAGACTAGTATACCTGAGCCGAGCCAGCAGGGCAGCACAGAGGCCGGGGCCACCCAGCCAACTCCTGTCCTGTTCCAGAGGCGCCGTCACATCGCCCCCCCCCATCGCGCCCCCTAAGCCACTACCTGCCGAGTCTCCAGAACTCCGGCCCGCGCCCCAGGCCGCAGCAGCCTCAGCCGCATCTCACCTAACACCCGCCCTCTCCTGGCCACTGCCCACCGGTCAAAGGACGGGTTCCCGGGTTTGGAGACCAAGGATCAGAGTGAGTCCTGCGCCAGAACCTGCCGTGGATCAGACTCGGGAGCTCTTGGCTGCCGTGTTCCTCCTCATGGAAGAAACAGGTGCGTGGGCACAGGTGGCACAGCCACAGAGAGACACGGAGGCGAGAGGCCCAGGGACAGTCCTGGTGAACGGATGTCTCCTTTTTTGCCTGAAAAGCCTTAAGGTGGACTTTGGTCCCTCGCCTGAGGCTCCGTCAGCCCCGCGTGGCCTTCCCCGTCCAGCAGCACCGGGTGGGAGGGGCACCAGCCAGGCGGTCCCCTGGGCGCTCCCAACACCAGCACGGGCAGCACGGTGTTCCTTCTGGGACCTGCCCGGATGGGATGGCTGCTAGAGGCAGTTCCAGCGCCTTTGAAGCAGACGCTGGGGGATCACCGCTCTGACGGCAACGACGTCACCAGGACAGCGAGGGAAAGAGGAGGAGGGGTCCAATGGGACAGGAGGGCGGGAGCGACCCCAGGCCTGGGTGGAGAAAGGGGCCTGGAGGCCTCTCAACAGAAGCCACGATGGCCGCTTGGCCCCCACTCCGGCCTCCGGGTGGCCATGGCAGTGGGTTCTCTCCCCCTCCCTCAGGGCCCCCGCACCAGGGCATAGGCAATGGGAGTGGAATAGATGGTGAGCTAGAGAACCCCGACCCCTCCCAACCTGGCCTCCCACAGGACCCACTCAGGACCTCAGCACCCGCCAAGCTCCCCCAACTCTCATTGCTGTGACTCTGTGTACCTGCCCGTGGCACCTGCTGGGGGCAGCTGCCCAGGGGCACCTACCCGGAGTACCTATCCAGAAGCACCTGCCCAGGTTACCTGCTGGGGGGTACCTACCCTGGGGCACCTACCCGGGGGCACTTGCCTGGGGCACCTACCCAGGGGCACCTACCCGGGGGCACTTGCCTGGGGCACGTACCCAGGGGCACCTGCCCGGGGTAGGCAAGCCCACGGGGCCGACACCACTGGCCTCCGGTGCCTGGCACGCTGGGACTCTGCTGATGGCCAGGTGGAGGGAGAGGACAGGAAGCCAAGACCTGAGCAGAGAAGCACAAGGTGAGAAAGGATGGAGCGTCCCAGGCAGCCTGTGTCACCACGAGGCAGGACACGGGCCAGCTTTCTACACCAAGGCTGTGAAGGGAGTCCAGCTGCGCTCCCTGGGGCCACAGGGGCCACCCACATGGCGGCCGAGGCTCATGGGGCAAACTGTGTGTGTCCACACGGCCTGGAGGTGGGTGACCCCACTCCGGGGCACAGGGCATGTCGGGCAGCTTTTGCAGCCCGGCCCGGCCCACGGCCCCTGGCATTGGGGGCCCGGCCCACACGTGCCCTGACTACGTCCCCCAAGGAAGAGCAGCGCCACACGGACACGCCGAACCCCGCAGACGCAACCAGGACCAGCAGAGCCAGTATTCACCTCAGACCGTCTCTCCTCCCAACTCATGTATTTCCTTGTGCTTCTCGGATGCGTTTTCAGGGCCATCCAGGAGGGCACTGCACGACGCTGGACGGTTCCGGATCCTCCATCCAGTGCGACTGCTGAGGAGCTGAACCTCTGGTTCTAGTTCATTACTTTTTACTTGTAATAGTTGCACGTGGCCAGAGGTCAGGACGGTGGGCAGGACGGCGGGCACGACAGTGGGCAGGACGGCGGGCAGGGTGTCGGGCAGGATGGTGGGCAGGACAGCGGGCAGTGCGCGGCCTTGGCCCTTCCACATGGTGGGGGCAGCACGACCCCCTGAGATCCCAAAGTGTCTGCGTGTCCTGTGCCCCAAGCGGAGAAGCAGCTCCATGCTGGGGGTCGGGAAGGGGCGAACGCCCGTAACCCTCCTGGGGCCACACGGTGAGTCACAGCCAGAGGTGAGGTTCGGACCCCATGTGTGTCACCGACCTCACGTCCCTGCTCGTCCACCTGGTCACACAGTGGAGCCACACGAGGGCCCCTACCTGGCCCTGCGGGTCACGGGGGTCACAGCCCAGCAGGGCGAGGCCGGGGGCTGCCCGTGGGTCTCTAACCATGTGTTCCCGAGCCTCGTCTGCCCATCAGGACTCCATGACGCAGCCCCAGGTGACCCCAGGGGACGCAGGCTCACCCAGGCTCACCCAGCAGGCCAGAGGCGCGGCCACGGACAGATGCTGGGCCCTGGGCCGACCCTGAGCGCGGATACTAGGGAAGGGGCGCTGAGCCTTGTGGCTGGTGTGCCCTCGCGTCACCCCCCCCATCCCCCTGCACACGTGCCTGGACCCGATGGAGGGTGGGGTCGCCAGGGGGCGGGAAGGGAAGACAGGAGGGCCCAGGCGGAACCGAGGGACCTGCGGCACCCAGCCAGGAGCCTGAGCAGAGCCGCTCCGCGTGCCGACCTCCCACGCCGGGACACGCTCCAGCAGGTCGGAGCAGGCCTGCAGCTCCCCGGAGCCACGGACGCGCCCGGAGCCATCCAGGTGGTCGTGGCCTGGACGACCGCTGGACATCACCCTGCCTCCTGGCTGAGATCCGGCCCAAAGCCCCCTGGGGCCTGTGGAGCAGACCCCAGCCCCCACCCCCATTGTGCGGTGGGGACAATGAGAGGCAGGCGTCCCCTTCTTACCCACCGCCTTCCTCCCCACCCCACGGGGTGCTGCCCGGTGAGCACAATAGTGCATTCTGTGTCCAGGAGCCTCGGCCGGCGGCCCCCGGGCTCTTGCAGCCCCTCCACACAATGGCAGGACCCTAAGGGCCTGATAGCCGATGACAAATGTCTGTGAATGACCAGCTCACAGGAAGTGGCCTTCAATAGTCCGATCGCTTCCTGCATCCTGACATTGTGAAAGCCCACTTCCTGCGCTGTCTCCGAAAATACAGCCCTGCCAGGCGGGGAGCGGGGGCGGGGGCGGCGGCTGGGCCTCCCCGCGAGCCCCCTGCCCGGTTCTGATTCCGGGGCGACTCCCGGCCAACCCACGCGCCAGCTTGGCCTTCCTCAGTGACGCCCCCCGCCCCCAGGATCCCGGGCTCCTGCTGGGAAAGGCTTCCCCACGTCCGGCTCCCTCCGCAGCACACTCGGGGCCATGGCCTTGGGGGCTCCCCGGAGCTGCTCCGGTCACCCCTTGGACCTCGTCTCCCCAGAGTGGACGGCCACGACTCCTTGGCCTTCCTGTGTGCCACGGAAACAGGGCGGGAGGCCTCCTGTCCGTCCGGGCTCCAGCTGGACCCCAGAAAGGCCTTCCCCAGGGCACGCCCCCCACCCCACACCCCGACTCCCCACCGAGGCGGCTCAGGGCGACCACGGCAGGCAACCCGGAGCCTGTTCTGGGGGCTCAGGCACTGGGCAGACGGCTCTGCCCACGCCCACCCGGTGACACCGGTGGTGGAGCCTCGTGCTCTGGACAAGGGTGCACGGGCATCAGCAGTCAGCCCAGGGGCCCCCAGCTAGTGAGAGGGGGTGGGGGCTGCCGTGTACCCCTCCTCTCGCTTGGCCTCTCAGGACTTCCGCCCACGTCCCATCCCCCCATGGGAAGTCCTTCCCGGCTTCCTGGCAGTGGTGAAGCAACCCGAGGGAGGGCAGGGGTGCACCCACCCTGCCAGCAGGCCACTCCGTATTGTTTTCCACTTCTGATAAAGGAGGCACTGAATCAGCCTGGGGCCATTGTGGTGGGGGGGGGCAGCAGTGGGGAGGCAGCAAGGTCAAGGAGTGACAACCCATTCACTCCCACCCCGGGCCTGGGGAGAACCCAGCCTCTGCAGATGGAGAGGAGGGGAGAAAACCCTCACCAATTTCCCACCGTCCCCTTCCCCCGGCCCCGGGGTCAGCCAGCTGCCCAGGGAGGAAAGGAACTGCGTGCACCTGCGACGGGGAGGGCAGCCCAGCCTCGGACCCCCATTCCACCCCCTGACCCGGACACAACCCTGCCCTGCAAGACGAAGGCGATGGTGGGCACCCGGCCTAGGTGGGGCTCAGCGGGTAAGCCAGCTCCCTTGTCTCCGCGGGGATCCATCTGCCTCGGGTGCCGGGGTGAACGAGGTCCCCGGGGACACGGGGGGCTGCGCGCTCGCTCTTCCCCTGGGACTGTCGGGCTGGCTAGGCAGGAGGGGGCTGGCAGCAGACACGGGGGTCGGGGGGGGCGGGCCAGAGCAGGGCCGGCTTGTTATCTGGACCCCAGGAGACATCGGAGGCGCCTTCCCACTCTGCTCAGCTTTTATCAAAAACACACACGAGCGCAGGGGGGAACGTCCGTATGAGGGTATCAGCGTGAACCTACCCAGTGGGGCAGGTAAATCTGGAAAAACAACAGAAGCGATCCTGGATTCTCGGCACCCTCCTCCCTCCACCCCCCCACCCCCCACCGCGGGCGAGCCCAGTGGCCAGGCCTTCAGCAGCTGCTGCTGCTGCTGCCTCGAGGCGGAAGGGCGTCCAGGCTCTGATAAGGCCCGGGAAGCAGGGATGGTGCCTGGGGCCCCCTGACTGTTCCCTCACCCCAGGGACCCCGAGGATAATCAGCTCACAGTCTTCCGGCCTCAGGCGGTCAGCTCCCACCCTAAGGCCTCGGCCTCAGGGGGCTGGGTACCCACACCCAAGGCTCTCCCCCTGCCCACCCTCCTGTTACAGCTTGACTGTGTCCCCTCAAAACTTGTATGTTAAAGCTGCGACCTCCGGGGACCCCACGGTGTGCCCGTATTTGGAGACGAGGCCTTTACTGGCCCCGACCCAGGCTGTGTCCTTGTAAGGAGGTGTGCGCACAGGACCCCGGGGCCTTGTCGCGGGCACGCAGCAAGGGGCAGCCACCCCCAGGTCCGGAGAGAGGCCGCAGGGCGCACCAACCCTGCGGGCACCCCACAGCAAAGGGAGGATCTACATCTGCTGTCGATGCGCCCTGGCCTGTGGCCCTTTGTCGCGGAGACCCTGCCTTGCTGCATGGCACCCCGAGGGTCAGGGCCTCAGGGCGAGGGTCAGGGCCTCAGGGCAAGGGTCGGGGGGAGGGTCAGGGCCTCAGTGCGAGGGTCAGGGCAAGGGTTGGGGTGAGGGTCGGGGTAAGGATCAGGGTGAGGGTCAGGACAAGGGTCAGGATGAGGGTTGGGCCTCAGTGCAAGGGTCAGGGCCTCGGGGCAGGGGGCAGGGCGCCCCACGACTTCCAGCTCCTGTCTGGCGCAGCAGCGCAGGGGCGGGGCCCGTTGCCCCACACGCCCTCTTGGAGCCCAGACTCAGAACATGGTCCCAATGCAAGGGTACACACAGCGGGCCTCAGCACAAGCCCCCGCCCCAGGAGCCCCCGTGTCCTCCCCCGCCCCCCGCAGCTGAGCCCCGCACGGGACCCCACAGAGCCGTACTGCAGCGCGGGCTTTGACCCCAGCACCCTAACTGCAGGGCTGAGCTCCCCGGACGGGAAGGAGGGTGCCCGGGACCCCACCCGCCGCGGCCTCAGCTTCACAGCCGGTGAGCACCGGACAGGACAGGACTCCGGGGGCCACAGCGGGTAAACGACCCGCCTGGGCACCAACTGACCGAGCTGCCCCCACACAGGGCTCCACCTGTGGGAGTCACCCCGACCTGCCCCCGCACGCGGGGCAAACCATACGGGGAGCACCAGAGGCACAGCTACCCCGAAAGCTTCATCTTTGGTCTGCGCCCCGGGGTCGCGGGAGCAGGAGGGGACAGGACAAGGGGCGGCAGCGTCCGGGCGGCAGCGTCCCCACGAGGTGGGTCCCGGAGCCACCCACACCACCGCCACGGGGGCCCTGGCCACAGCCTGACTCGGCGCGAGGCCAGCAGGCCCTCGAAGGGTGCTTCCCCGGCAGGGAGCGGTCTGTGGAGCAGGGACAGTGGTGGCGGCAATGGGCTGGGAGGCGGAGGGGCGCAGGCTGCGGTCACAGGAGGGGAGGGGGGACCCACTCCGCCGGGGGCTCGGCTCCCCTTTACTAGCAGGACAAGCAGCACCGTCGCCCTCCCGCCTGAGCTCTCGGGGAGGAGGCACAAATGAAAGGGCTTCGCATGGATACGGGAGGTGTGCATCAGTTTCAGGGCAAAGGACGGAACCCAGGCCCGGCCCGTCGGCCCCCCCAGAGGGACAGACGCCCCCCGGGCCCGCCCAGACCCCCCCCCCGGGGATCCCCACGGTGGCTCTGAGGCTGACGGAGAGGCCCCTGGTCAGGGTGTCCAGGGATCCCCGGGCCTGGGCCCAGGGCCTTGGTGGCTTCCTTGGGGCAACCCCACCCGCCCTGCCGGGCGGCTGCACACCGCTCATCGCTACGACGCGAAGGGTTTCCTGAATGCCTTCCTGAGGACATTGTTCCCCACTACAGAGTCACAGGGTCAAATTCATCATGGGCCCTGCTGGTCCAGGTCCCACCCAGTGGGGAAGCACAGCCCTCCGCCCAAGCCCCTCTCCCCCTGGGAAACCTAAGCCAGTGGTTTCTTCTGGGTTCACTTATCACCAGCCTCCGAGAAGGCAAAGTTGTTGCCAAACTCGGCCGCCAGGCCCCTCCAAGTACCCCCAGCAGCCCCGCCGTCCTCCAGAGACGCGGGCCCCAGCCCCTGCTCCACCCCCGAATCACTCAGGGGCCTCTTCATTCACTCAACATTTATTGAAAATGACTGTGTGCCAGGCCGTCCACAAGGGGCAGAGAGGTGAGCAGGACGTGGCCCCAGCCCTCGAGGAACCCACCGTCCTGGGGCGGGGGGGGGGGGGACGCACCCGTTACAGTGCCCCGGAATCAGTGCCACAGTACAGTGACCACGGGGCTGGAGAAGCAGGAAGGGAAGGCCCTGCTTAGGGGAGTGGGTTTGGGCCTAGAGCCGCCAAAGCCCGCGGTGTAACAGGAGTAACAGGAGCCGGCCCGGAGCCTAGGATGCACGGTGCACGGGTGCACGGCGCACACAGAGGCGTCAGGGTCCAAACAAGCATCGTGTGCTCGGGAGGCAGCAGACCTTAGGGGGATGGGGGAGATGACAGGAGGGAGGCTGGGGCAACGGGGGAAGGAGCCACGGAGGTCGCGGAGGGCAGGCAGGGACCTCATCGGACGAAATGCTGGCAGAACCTGAAGGAGTTTCACGAAGAGACTGAAAGTTGAGGTAAGAGGAGGAGGCCCTAATGGGGGACGTGAGAGATGAACAGAGGACGAACTGCAGATGTAGAGGACGTAAAGGACGGTGGCCGCGGGCTGGGGAGGGGACCGGGGGTGAGGGGGGCGAGGGAAGGACTCTACGCCAAACGGAGAGCCAGCCGGGGCTCTTACAAACATCCCCTGCACCTCGCAGGCAGCTCGGGAGGGAGGCAGGCCCATCCCCACCCGCGGAGGACGCCTGGACAAGCAAAGGGACTTCCCAGTCACACCCTGGACTACAGGGCCGCCTGCAAACCCAGCGGATAGCCTGGGAGGGAAACCCACGTGTGCTGCTCTTCTTTAAAAGCTCGAATCCCAAACACTGCTTTTCAGCAAACACTGGGAGAGACGTTGGACAGGGAAGGCATAAAAGAGCATTTATTTATTGCGATTCCGTGATCCAGCCTGGCTGCCGCCCGACGCAGCAACAAGGAGGCTCCACGGGGCTCTAAGCCACCACTTTTCCGTGGACTCCGGGGGCTGCTCTCTCCCTCCTTCTGCTCCATCCGCGGGCAACACACTCGAACCCCCAGTTTACAGGCAGAGAAGCCAAGGCCAGGAGGAGGGCAAGGTCACGCTCCAGGCCCTGCTCTCCTTGCCTCTCCCGGGCGTCCCAAAAGCCCCTGTTCCCCTGCTCCCCACTCTCTGTCTCTGACCCTGCAGACGGCCCCCCAGGGAACTACCACTTAGCGACCCAGGTCTGGCCGGCGTGGTTCCTGGGCAAGCGGGTCCGCCCTGTGACGGATCCCTAAGTAGCCCCCAACTGCCCTGTCATCACTCCCCTGGCCAAGGCTGCTCCCACCTCCAGGGCCCCCCTCACCAGGGTCACGAGGGTACGAGCGACTAGTGCAGGACGCAGGGGCTCCAGGTAGGGGCAGATGAGCGCAGCTAGTGTCCCCGGACGCCCTGGACTCGCCTGGACTCGCTCCCCGCGTCACCTCAGCCTTGCTCCAGCCCGGCACACACGGGCAGGCCCAGCCCCATGACAGCTGAGGACAGGAGACCCAGAGAGCCTAGGGGACTCACCATTGGCCACGCGGCCAGCGCCTGAAGCAAGGGTCACCTCGAGTGGGCCAGGCTGCCTGGCCACCCCAGCACAGCGGAGACGCCCATGCCAACGTGGGAAAGGAAGACAGAGGCCAGAGGGGGGCGCTTCCCCTCGAGCTGCTCCCAGGGAGCTCCGGGAGGCCAACCCCACAGCGGCCCGCTCGCCAGCAGCCCCCCCCCCCAGCCCCCGAGAGGCCCGCAGGAGTCAAAGGGCTCCCAGGCTGGCTTATCCTGGCGGCCGCCCAGCTGACTCGGAGAACACGGCCACGGGCACAGGAAAGGCTCCAGCGAGAGTGGAAAAGCACCAGACGCCGGGCGACGGAGGGGAGGGCAGGGGCAGCCGGCTCGGAAGCCACAGCCATCACTGGCCCCGCAAGGCCCCGCGGGGTGGGGGCCCAAGCACGACCCCCGCCGAGCGCCTCTGCCCTGACGCGTCTCAGTGAATCAGGACTGCCGGCCCCCAAATACGGACACGTGCGTGCAAGGTGAATCAGCGAGGACGGAAGGCAACCAGCGCCCCGCGCATCCCCGCTGCCCCCCACCCCCCGCCTTTGCAGAAGGCTCCCTAGCAGAGGCAGGAAGGCCCACTCTAGGTCTGCGCCCCACAGTGGCGGCCGAGGGACGCAGACCCGGCTGCGCGTCCTAACACGCTTGCCCCACACAGAGATTCAGGGAGGGCAGGCCTGAGGGCACAGAATCACTTAAAAGGGGGCAGCGGGGGTGGGGCCAGAGGGGAGCACCTTGGGACTCCAAAGATGGGGCCCCCGCAGCCGGGCCCTGGGAGGGGTGCAGCAGCTGGGACAGGCTTCCTGACCTAGCTGCAAGTCCCAAAACATCTCAGGCTGTGGGAAAACTCTGCTGCTATTGTTTCCGTGGCTTTTCCATCCCCCCGAGTTCTGCTTAGACAGATAATAAAAACGACACATGTGCAGGACACGCAGAAGTGTTTCCAGAGACACCGCTCCGGGGCCCTAACGTTTACCCCAGGTTGTCAGACTGCTCAGGTTGGGGGGGCAGATAGTATACCTCTCAGACCTTACTGGGAGAACAGCGGTAGTCTGGGAGGCCAAATCAACCCCACGAGCACACAAGCACACAAGCACGCTTAGAATTTCTTTTTAGAAGATAAAATGCCAGGTGCCTGGGTGGCCTCGTCAGTTACGCCCCTGCCTTGGGCTCGGGTCACGATCTCAGGGTCCTGGATCGAGCCCTGCATCAGGCTCCCAGGTCCGCAGCGCGGGGTCTGCTTCTCCATCTCCCCCTCCCCTGCTCCTGCTCACATGTGCGCGCTCTAATAAATAATCTTTTTTTTAAATAAATAATCTTTTTTTTTAAATGCAAACATTTAAATATCAAGTCTCAAAAAAAACGAACCATACACAAATACCTAAAATCATACCATCTTTTAGGAAAAAAAAAAAAACCCTAAAAAATGTGGGCATCACTGAGCAAGCAGCATACACTGGAAGCAGCCACAGCCGCCCGCCCACGAGGGCAGCCCACCCTTCTCCTGGTTCCCGGCCTGCCTGCCCAGGACGGCCGCGGGGCGGCAGCACTGAGCTGCCACGGAGGCCAGCCCACCCCGGCTCAGCTGGCGGAGCCTGGCACGTCCTCAGGGAACCAGGAATCCAGGAATCCGACGGTGTCCCTAATGGCAACAGCACCTCCTTTCAGCACACCCTGGAGCCTCAGGGACGGCGGAGGAGACGCCAGTGACTCACTGCCTCCTGCCCTCCGGCCACCACCTTCCCCAGCTCCCCAGCTCCTCCCACGCCACAGCCGGCATCTCCACCTGTTCGGGTCCCACCTTCACCCGTCCCACCTTCACCCGTTAACGCCGTCGAGCCTCGGTTCCCGAGATAAGAGGACAAACACCATCCCCGGCGTTAAAGGGGGGCGCGTCCCCCGTCACGCGCTCCTCATTTCCTTCTGCTCACTTGGGTTAAAGGTCAGCGGACTCCAGGGGACCCCGGCTCTCAGGCCCCTTCCTGCCCTCTGCTCTCGCTGCCCTTCCAACAGCACCTGTAACATCTCAAACGGCAGCACTAGTACAAACACCTGCAGCCACTTAGGAAAGACATTTGGCATCGTGCATCCAGACGCCTGAAACTGCTCATCCTCCTTCACCCAGAACGCCATTTACTCCAAAATGCAGGAAGGAGCCCTGCGAAAGACAGTCCCTGCCACACCCACACTGGGGAACCACCAGAAATGACCCAAGTGTCCAGCCACGGGGAAACTGTCAAAAAAACAAAGTCCGTTTCCTTCCCACTTGATGGGCAATGATGCGGCTGCTAAGAACAACTAGGATTATGAAGACCATGAGATAAGACAGAAAAATGACGATGTGAAACACTACGTAAAAAAAAAAAAAAAAAAGAAGATAAAGTTAAATGGACACAGGTGATCAGAATCTTAAACAGTTACGCCGAGAGCGGATGAACGGTAACGAGATGCTACCCTGCTGGCTGTACCGGAGCCCTGGCAGCGGGGCAACCCTTCCCAATCTCTACCAAGTGTCCTGGGCTGCACGCATATTACTTTTGTAGGGGAGAATGTATGTCTGCGTATGACTGAAAGATTTGACAGCAACTACTAAGCAACCTGGTCTACGCTGGATTCATATTTGGTAAGTCCTCGAACTCTCTTCTCGTCATGATAAAAAGGCTCCCGGGGACCTGCCTGGGCCTCGGAGCCCTTGGTTAGAGGTCAGTGATTTCCGACCCCGCAATGCCTGCACTTGCCTGACTCCTAAGGAGACCCCAACACCATCTGGAAGATAGGAGCACATCAAGACGGTTCTCAGATGCCACTTTAATCAGGTTTTGTACCATACAGTGATGGGGGGGTGGGTGTGTGCGAAGAATGCGACTGTTTTCAAGCATATCCCCCTGCCCCAAGGTACGCAGCCTGGGCTTCCAAGAACAGTAAAAGGCTTTCCTCCCCAGAGAGTCTCACTCCTGAGCTGACAGGACAGGATTTCAGGAAGCGTGAAGGGGGGGGTGGGCAAGCCAGCGACAGGAGGCAGGCAGCTGGTTGCATTCTTCCCAGTGTGCACTGGAACTGGGCATGCAGGTGTACCTCCTAAGGCAGCACCCTGACCCCAGCCGCTCCCACGTGAGGCCAGGGGGCCTCCCCAAAGAAACAGACAGCCGTCATTCATTTCATGACAGTCCTCCCAGCCGTGCACCCGACGAGCAGAAGCCTGACAGATGAGCCTTCAGGCCAGCAGCACCCTCAAGGGTCTTCCTCTTCATCGGCCCCTCCGCTGCTCACACGTCTGCCTGGCCGGGTGGTACGCGAGGGGCCAGAATAAGCCATAAAGCAAATCAGATGTGGGTTCTGGAGCGGCGCAGACATGGTGGCAGGGCCAGTGGTGGCCCACACAAGGGCCCACAGGGCTCTGTGTCTTTCGTTAATTCTTTTCCGGGCGGTTTCTGTTCAGGACGGCTTTAGGGGCAAATTCCAGCTTGTCCTTAAGGCTCACCACCTGGGTGTGGTCCTTGCCTAGCAGTTCATCCAGCTTGCGGTCCTCCCGGCGCTCAGAGATGCTCTTCTCCTCCTCCGCAGGCTGGGGATCCTTTCCCCGGATGAACCATTCCAAGTGGTAACCCACAGCCCCGACCACAAAGGCCACAGGAAATGTGACATAGGGAGCATAGGTACGCACCACGGTCCAAAGCACAGGCCACATGACATCTGCAGAAGAGCACAAGGCAGTGTTAGGGAGGAACCAGCAGCCCCCATCCCACAAATACGGACGACCCTCTGGGGCGCTCCCATCACCAGGCAGCCTGAGCATCCACCCCACGCAGAGTAAGGCAAGAGAGTGCCCTGCTCAGGCAGCGGCCAGGGCCCTGAAACAGTCTAGAAAATTTTGAAAGACATAACCGTTAGGGAAAGGGGAAGAATCTCTAGGTTCCGTACTATCCTGTTTGACCATTACGCAACCACACGCGGCCGTGCTCCCCGCGAGGGAGCCTCTGAGCTCTCCCGATGAAGATTCAAGCCTGTTACTGGCCCCAGGCCCTCCCTCCACACTTTAAACCAACATTTCAGAAACAGAAAAGAGCCTCCCTCTGCTCCACGCAGTTTCTCCGGGAACACAGCCTGCCACCCTCTTCCCACCAGGTGAGGTCCCAAGGCCACTCTCCTGGCTCCACCATAAGTAGTTCCTCTGCCACAAAAAAGAATAAGAAGCATCTTTAAGTGGCCCAAACCCTAACTCGTTACTCAACCATTCTGGATGTTAGAGAAATAATCATTTTTCCCCCAATCTGAACTTGATCTTGGTAACAGTGAGACATACCTGGACTTTACAAAACGGGGGCTGGCCACACCTCTTTTAAAACACATTCGCTTCAACCAAACCCTTCATATTTGCATAAAAAAACTCCTAAAAGTGTCACCAACAACGTTATACAGACTCTGAACACGACAGGGAGCGAATTTTTGCTGTAAAAAACACACTGTATAAGCCTGTCGCCGAGAAAGAAAAAAAAAATTGTAGAATGGTCCCAGAGCTTCCTGAAATAAATTAAGACGACACCAAAAAAAAAAAAAAAAAAAAATACAGAAACATACGGATTGGTTCACTCTAATAGCCATTTAGTCTCATGACGGTCCCCATTAAGAATTACCAGTTACTACTCACGGGGCACCCGGCAGGCTCAGTCGGTGAAGCACTAATTCTTGGTTCTAGCTCAGGTCATGACGTTGAGGTCGTGGGATCGAGCCCCAAGTCAGGCTCCTCCCTCAGCAGAGAGTCCGCTTGTCCCTCTTCCCTCTTCTCCTCCCCCCTCTCCCCCTCTCTCAAATAAATAAAGTGTCTAAAGAAAAACGATTATCCACGTTATCATAATAACGGTAGCTACCGTTGACGGAGCACATACATGCTCGGGCCACTTTATACACTGTACGTCCTTTCGCCCTCAAGTCCACTGTGAGGCCGACGGCATCATCAGAGGGCTACGCGGTTTGCCCCAAAGTCTCCACTAGAACATCAATCATTCCATTTGCACCTCCGTAGGTATTTCTGCGACTTGGCTTTCTCCAGTCCAACACATACAAATGAAACCTCACCAAAGAGAAAATGATCTTCTCTCTCTCTCTCTCTCCTTGGTTCCGATTCTCTCTGGAGCAATCCCAGCATTCTGTGGACCCAAGACTGTAATGGACCATCATCGGGGGAAACCCGCAGCAGCTCCAAGGGTCCCCTCTGGGTCCCTTTTCTTAGCACTGGGCCCAGCGCCGCCCGGGTCACTCGCCAGTCATCAGCTGATCGTCACAGCACCTCTATGAGGTCGGAACTGTCAGCCCAGGTTTGTGTCTAAGGCCACAGAGGCTCAGGGACCTGATGTGAACTTGCCCGGGATCACCAGACGTGCAGAACCACTGCTTTTGAATCCAGGCCTCTCCAAACGGCAGAGAGCTTGTGCTCGCTCTGGCGGCAAGAACACGCTGCGGACAGGTGCACCGTGTCTGTCCAAATCCTGGACTTGGGGAGCGCCTCCTGCAACTGTTGTTTGGTTTGTTTGTTTTTCCATCAACTTGGCACATCACCATCTGCAAGAGCTTCCCTGTAGGCAAACTCTGAGATTATGCAGAGATTTGCCAAATTATAAAACAGCAGAAGTCAATAAAAGGAACGCCCTGGGGCACCCGGGTGGCTCAGCAGTTGAGCGCCCGCCTTCGGCCCAGGGTGTGATCCTGGAGTCCCGGGATCGAGTCCCATGTCGGGCTCCCTGCACGGAGCCTGCTTCTCCCTCTGCCTGCGTGTCTCATGAATAAGTAAATAAAATCTTTAAAAATAAAATAAAAAATAAAAGGAACACCCCCAAGAACCTCAAACCTAATACACCACTTCCTCTCCTACCTTCACGGAGGTTCTCTGTAACTTAACGTGCACCCTAAACGGCAATTCTCCACGTGGATCCCTCGTTTGTTGTGAAACATCCCAAGCACAAGGCCACAACTCACAACATCTCTCACGCTCAGCAAAGATCTCTGTTGTCCTGACCCCCTTCTAAGGGTCCCCAGATAACCGCACTCATCCCCTCGTCCAACACCTAGGACCACCTGCTCCGGGCCGGGCCTGGTGCCGCAGCCCACCCCTCTTGGCTGCATTCCGCCCAGCCCTGAAGCTCTGAGAGGCCGAGGGCGCCCTGCCGGCCATCGAGGGCCCACCGCAAGCTCGCCGCCTGAACGCAGGACGGTCAAACGGCGCATGGGCATCATCAGTGCTGTGGGCCTCGGAGGGCGGCACAGCAGGTGCAGCCGC